TTGAGGTGGAAGAGTTAAAGCGCAGGAGCTTTGGCAGGACCGAGGAGAATATTTTGTTGTGGAAGGCCGTGTCCACAAGGAAACTGCTTGAGTCTGAGAAGGCGGCAGAAATGAGTCAAGTTCTGGCTTCCTGACTTCCAAGCTATGAGATCTTGGACCAATGATTTAAGTTCCCTAAGCCTCTGTTTTCTCATTTGGGTAGTATAAATAATGATATATAACCCAGGGAGACATTTTAAGAATTAGATCAACTAAAATAATATATGTATATATAAGGTGCCCAGAAAATTATATTGTATATAATGCCTCATGTGTTTAGATTATCTCCTGTTCTCTGGGAAAGCGCTGAAGGAATGAGACTTAGAACGTATATTTGTTTGGAAGATAAAGTGAATAAGATGTCAAGATAGGGACCACTCTCTGCAGGGAGAGTCGAAGAAGGACCCTTCAGGACAAGAACTGGCTGCTGTACAAAAGAGGCGATGAGTGGAAGTCAAGTAAAGGTTTTTAAGGACGTGAGGGTGACAAGGAAAATCAGTCAAGCCACCTGGGTGTGGGTGCTGCTTGGCTTCTTTTTCAGTTGGATGGCCTAGGACAAGTTACTTAGCTTCTCTCTACCTCATTTCTCTCCTCCGTGAAAGAGGAATAACACAGAGTCCCTGTCTCATAGATAGGGTGACCAAATACATCTACCCTTCAAACAGGGACACTTCTTAGAGCAAAAAGAGGCACTGTTGATCGTTTGTGTTGGAACAACAGGAGTCAACCAGGAGCCACCTGGACAAATGGAAATGCCTTATTTATGGGGCTGAATGTGTCAAGTAACCTAGGACTTGCGATAAGCTTTGCTCCATGCCTGCCGTGTGGCAAGCACTCAAACAAACGCTGCTATTATTTCTGCTGCTGACTTCATCTTGCCAAGTCCCTAAACCTAAGTCAATTTCCTTATTATAAAACGGGGGGTATTACCTGTTACATAAAATCATTGTTAAGGATTAAATAGAATAATGCTTACAAAGCACTTGCCAAAGTGTCTGGCGTACAGTAGACACTCAATAAAACCAACTATTATTACTGGTTTCAGGGTTGGGGGTGTGGGATGAGAGGAACAGGAGAACTTGAAAACTTCCGAAATTTCTTTCTCAGCCAGTGTAGAGTTGATAATTCACACCGTGTAGAGTGGATCTGCTAGGTGCTTATCCTTGCCATTAGAGGATGCTGGAAGGAAAATTTAAATAAACTTTTACTTTAGTTAATCGTGGTGAGTATAATGTAATAAAAGGTGCACTGATTTTCAAGTTAGAAGATCTTTGTCCTAATTCCAGATGCACATTTTCTAACTGCATGACTTTGGGTTGGTCGCCTAACCTCTTTAAGCACCAGATTTTGGGGGTTTTGTTTTGTTTTGCTTTTTTTGTTGTTTGTTTATTTTTTCAATCTGTTAAATAAAGACTGGCGTCTCTCAGGGTTACTATGTGGATCAACTCTCATAGTAAACTGTAAAACATATGGAAATAGATGAGACTGTATTTGATAATGACCCCTTTTACTTTATCCCTGCCAGAGCTAATGAAGTAACTTCCCAATCTTCTTTGTGCCTTCCAAAAAAAAAAATTGAGAAATAAAGTAATATGTTATCTTCTCCACCCACAGCCCCTGAAGGGTGCTTCCTATTTTCAATTCTTTTCTACTTGATACCGCTGGCCAGTTAATGTATTCCTAACAGGCCAAGGCACCTCTAGACAACAGAAAATCACTCTAATGCCATATTCAGTCACTCAAACTGCTTCCTTTTCTCTTCATCCCCATTTCATTTAGTTGACACTTCTGGACAACCACCACCCTGCCCCAAACTTATTCCATTTACAGAAGGCCAATTAAATTACTTCCTCTCAGCACAAACATTAACACATATAAAATTCACATTTCAATTATGATCAGGTCTGGATTAAGTTCTTCGCAGATGCTGAAAACACTATTTCCCAGTTAATACCATTAGCCAGGCTGTTTCTTTCACACTTCCAAGCAAATAAATCTTGGGTATGCATGCACACACACACACACACACACAGAGGCACACACTCCAATGGCTCAACCAGAAAAATAGCCAGATGAACAATAAGGGGTTTCCGTATATAGCTTATTATTTCTAGTTTTTGATCAAAGGAAGGTTATAAAGAAATTCCAAGCCTTGTGCTGGCCCCTAGTCTCACTCTCTCTCTTTCACTGTGTTATTTTCCTCCACATTTCCTCCATAGGCAGTGTTGGGCCAACAAGAAAAAGACTTTTGATGGGACCCCAGACTCCCTTATGTGCAAAAGGTTAAAACATTCTGACACTGTTACTAATGAGAAGGCAGAGCTTGATCCTAGTAAATAAATTGACCTTGGTCTTGGGGTTAAAATTCTTTCTTACTAGCTCATCTGGACGGAACTGGAGATAAATAGGTATACAAGCAGGTTTTGAAGCAATTTACTTTTTTTTTTTGAAAATGTACCGATTTTATTTTATGCTGTATTCTAATTTAAAAGCTTAATTTTAATGACTTGGGTACAGAGGGACCGAGGAACAGGAACACAGATTTTTTAAATGCTCCCAACAATTCTGGATCTTAACTGTCAGCTTTTAAATTAGCTCATCTGTCGGCTGGAGAACAGGAAAAGCAATGGATTTTCCAGATCACAGGGAGGAGTACAAAGCCACAGCTGTGTGACTGGCAGTGGAACAATCCGCCCAGCAGGCCACCCTCCAAAGCTCACCTTGGCACAGAGAACATCCGAAGACTGAGAATTACCTGGTCAACCTTTCGGTACCATGGACAGCTCATCGACACGCAGTAGAGAATCTGCAGTTTTAAACCTAAGTCTGCATAGCACCTTCCCAATAAGGAACCTCTGCAAAAATAATGGGGAGAGGCAGAAACCAATGTCCTCAGGGTACATAGAAAGTGGATTCAGAGGGGTTATGGGATTTGCTTAGTCACTTACTGAAGTCATGGAAGATTCAGAACCAAGCGTCCCAATACACCACATCTTCCCATGTGAATAGGCTGTGTCAGGAAGGAAGACATTTTCCTCCGTCCTTCTAGGTTCTTCTGGCTGGTCTAAGAATTTAATTGACATGAGACAGATTAGCAGGGGAAGATCAAACAGAAGTGTAATAGCATGTATACATGCGAGAGACCCAGAAAAACTGAGGCATTTACCAACACCAAAATGGCTGAAACCCTAGCACTGAATACCATCTTCAGCTAAAGACAAAACAGGTTGCTGGAAGTAGTGATTTTGGGCTGCAGAAGGGAGGAAAGCAATTCACACGGAGATGACAAGCAAATGTTTGGTAAACAAATGTTTGCTGGGTTGTACAGAGACAATGAGACACTGAGTAGACTCTGTTCTCTAGGTCCTAATCCATATTCTCTGCAGGTATCTCTGGTGATGCCTCTACTCTGGGAACAGTCCCTCTATTTGATTTTTTTAGGCAATTAGGGGAAAGGTCAATGTTTTTTCCTGAGTCTTCTGGGCCTCAATTATTTTCAACTTGAAACAATCCACATACCAAAGAGACATTTTAGGGTGGCAAGTTTTGCTCCACTACAGCAGCTAAAAAAGCACTAAATGAGGCAAATAGGAGGGAGATTGCTAAAAGTCCAGTTTTACCTAAATGTGAAGGCAATTGCTTTCCCAGAAATTGTCTGAGAGGGAAATGAGATGAGGGTTCAGCAGCCAAACTCAGGCAGAACCTCACTCAGATGATAGCTTTCTATTATAATATGGAGAGTATAAATATATAATGAAAAAATATTTGTTCATGGGCAAAACAGCACTTACAATGCTTTTAAAATAATTAATTGAGAAAACTGCCAGTCAGAGAATAAGCCCTACATATTATGTCCATCTCCTGCTCGGGCAGACACACGTGTACATGCACGTGCACACACAGACATGTGTTCTCACTCCCCGTGAAGTCACACACTCACTTCAGGACACTTTTCCTAGTGTCTCTCCCAGGAGTCCTCCTTATCCTTTTCCTTTTCTCATTCCACCCACTTTGGTCCCAATTTAGTCTCCTAACTCAAAGGATCTCTTAGTTGCGCAGGCAAAATCATGAAAAAACTTGACAGTACACGGACTTTGATAACAACTCCAAGGCAACATTATTGATGTGAGACGACCCAGAGGTCATCTGTGGACCTCAAGTGTGACAGAAATGAATTGAACTAATGCTAGAAATATGTATTAAAACAACTGAACGCTGACTTGGTGTCAGTACGTGTCCTAGGCTCTCAGAGTACAGCTGTGACCAAGACAGAGACGAATCTGGACATCCTGGAGCTTTTATTCTCATGGGAGAAACAGATAAAAAATAAGTCAGCAGAAAATGTAATACTTTCTAGAAATGAATAGATCCCATAAAAATATTACCTGAAATAATGAGATGAAAATACTTGAAGGTAGGAAGTATAGTGTACTTTGAATAGAGAGGCCAGGAAGACCTTTCCGAGGAGGTGACATGTGAGCTGAGACAGAAAGCTTATCCCAATGACAACCATTAGTAATTGAAAGCAGATGTATGTTACCTTTATTACTAAAGAATGTGGTCATTGGGTCACCTTATAACTTAGAAATGAACACAAAATTCCCTGTGCCTCATGGGGACGCTAGGTTTGTTAGAGTAAAATCTGGCTGATGTAACAGATAAATCTCAAGATTTCAGTGATTTGAAGCAAAAAAAAGGGGGGTTTATTTCTTGTTCACCTAAAGCTCACCAAACCAAGGCATGTGGAAACTGGCATCAGCATGGTCTGAAGCCATTTTGGGCACTGTCATTCATCTGGCAGGAAGGAAAAGAGAAAGCATGGAAGACATTTTAGGGACAAATATTTCATCACTTTCCATTAGCTGGAACTCAGTCACAGAGCCACACCCAATGGCAATGAGACAGGAGGGAAGGGGGCAGGGCACAGCCATTAAAAGAATGGCACAGCAATTAGCACCAAGATGGCAGAAGGTTCAACTTCCAGTAGACCATGAGCTTCAATATACACTCATTGTACTACAAGAGCATGCTAGACAGCCCTCCCACAGGTGCCGTGAAGATTCTGAGGGTGACCATGGAAGGTCAAAAAGTGGGTGATGGCCCAACTCCTGGGAATCTCAGTCCCTTCCCCAAAGTAGTTGGAATAATTCTTCCACTTGTTCGAGTGTGAAATTACTGAGCCCATAAAAACTAATAGCCCTGCACCTCGGGGCCTTTTCTCTTGTCTTTCGAGATGGCCTGCACTGTCTATGGAACGTGCATCTCCTAGGCCAGGCTTTCTCTTGCCTTTTGAGACAGCCTGCACTCTGCCTATGGAGTATGTATCTCTCTGAATAAATCTATCTTCACTCTCCTGTGGCTTGCTCTTGAATTCATTCCTGCGTGAAGCCAAGGACCCTCAATTGATGGGGGGGGGGCGTCCCAGGCACTTGCCTGGGACCTCGGACATGGCCATCTTATTGCACCCCACATTTGTCCTGTATCAGCAATGAAGGCTGGACGAGATCATCTAACTGTGAACAATTGATAAACACTTGCCAAACACTTGCCAAGTCTCTGCCCCAATGAGACAGAAGGAAAAAAGCTCTTACACCTTGAAAAGAACATCTAGATTGTTAAAAGGAGGACCAACTAGGCCAAGAGTTTGATAAATATGTTTTGTTCACTCTAAGAAATGAAGAACAAATACCTCTTCTAAACAAGAGCAACCACAGCAATAATAATAATATAATGATTCTTTAATGACCATTGACCAATTTGACCTCCACACCCGCATATGCTGGCTACACAGGCAGAGCAAATATATTATTTACATTTTAGAGAACAGTGAACTGAGGGCCAAACAATCTTCTAGAACTGAAGGACTCTTACACATTATGTAACCCAAATCTATCATTACATAGTTGAGAAAATTGTCGTCAAAAGTGTGACGCAGTTTACCCCACGTGTAATTAGCCGTTGGTCAAACTGAGCCTTCAGTGGGGGTCTTATCATTTATAAATCAATAATTTCTCTGTGCTTGTTTCCCCTTAGGAGGGTGCATTTCAATGTCTCAGATAACTGTTAGTCACAAGGGTGCTAGTTAAAGGGAAGGGCTGGTAAGAAACACAGATTTCTGGGCCCCACTCCCAGAAACTTCGAATCTGTAGGTCTGCAGTTAGCCTGAAGGGTCACCCTATGGAAAACACTGCCCCAGTCATTGTCATAGGCTTTCCTGGGAAGCCCCTGACTCTGCTGTTGGAGACTGGATATGCATAACACAGGCAAAAGTGAAGCTCATAATAATTAAAAAAAAAAAAGAAAGAAAAAAACTTTAGCTAAAACCCCTACAAAATGGAGATACTATTTGATTTCTAGAAATAAAATAATTTTCTAAATTTAAAGATATGAAATATATAACCAGATAAAATATAGTTGTGACCACAAAAAAAGTTTTAATTGTATAAATCAACCACATCATCATAAATTTCCTTAATTTTAAGTTTTTTGTTATTACTTTAGTCCTTGTTAGAATTATCACTAGTTCTTCAAAAACTAAAAATTATAGAAAAGCATGAACCAAAATTAAAGTCTGAAATACAAATGCTCTGAGGTAATTAACATAAATCTTTTAACATATACCTTTCTGGTCTTTTGTGTACATACAGGTTAACGTACATGTGAATGTACACACATGTATATACTACACAGTTGGGTATGTTGTTAATATACTGTTATATTTATTGAAACTAACAAATCTAATTTTAACAAAATATATAAAATCCAGAAACACAGATTTAACAAGAATAAAAGATCAGACTATGATAACGAAATGGGGAAATAGAAAATAGGAAAAGAGAAGTAAGTTAAGCTAGATGTGAAGACACATAAGTTACATTTTTTACATCAACAACTAAGGAGAAAATACCAGATGTGCTGGCTTTTTGACTAACAGGTCACCATTTGAAATATGTTTCAACTTGAGGTCATGACCAATCAAGTGGCTTGAAAAATCGATTTAGCAGATTTTACGCCAGCGTTTTTCTCAGTAGGGTGGAATGGAACGGAACGGAGCGGAATGGAATGCAATCGAATATGCACTCCACATATAACAGAGTGTCGTCCAGCCTTAAAAATTAAGAAAATCCTGCCACTGGCAACAACACGGGTGAGCTCGGAGGATATTACGCTAGGTGAAACAAGCCAGTCACACAGAAGGATGAGTCCTGCAAGATTCCACTTCCGTAAAATATTTTAAATAGTCAAGCTCATAGAAGCAGAGACTACGATAGTGGTGGCCAGGGGCTAGAGGGTGGGAGAAATGGGGAGTTGTTACCCAGTGGGTGTAAAGTTTTAGCTCTGCTAGGTGAGCAAGTTTTAGAGGTCTGCTGTGCACCACAGTGCCTAGAGTTAAAGGAGGCACGTGCACGTCCATATTGGCTGAAAGGGTAGATCTCGTGTTACATGTTCTTACCACAAAGCAACAACAACAATGAAAACAAAGGGACACGAGGAAACTCAAGGGGGCGGTATGTCTATTACCTTGACTGTGGTGATGGTCTCGCAGTTGCTTGCAAGTGTCCAAGCTCATCAAATTGTGCATATTCAATATGTACAGTTCTTTGTGTATCAATCGTACCTCAACAAAGATGCTCTTAAAATATCTGAGCGCATCACATGGAATTCATAGTGAGGATCAACTTTATTTCATTGAGCACTTTTCACTATGTACCGACACATGCACATACATACACACACACACTAGCTTATAATTTGAAAGCTTCTATACTAGTAGACTAACAACAGGATGTAGAAACATAACTTCACTGGTGGTTGAAATAATAAAGAGAGAAAAAAAAAGGAGCAAGCTTCCTTTGTAGCTTCCCACTTTTTTATTCAATGTGTAATGTTCCCAGTCCTCAGAGCTCATCCTGGGCTCTTTTTCCCACTCTGTACCTCCTTCCTAGGCAACCTCATAATTCGAATTGATTATAGCAGGAAACACTTGGAGGAGGAGGTGGTGGAGTTTGGAAGAAGCAATCAAAGCAGAAGACAGTTTACACAGAAGGCAGATCGTTGGCATCAGTTGCCACCCCCTGACCTCTGACACGACTGCACGGGGCACGGCTGACCACGCACTCCCTAAGCCACCTGGTCTAGGAGAGGGGTTGCATCTGGTTCCTTTGTTGAACAACATAGCCACCGCCCGCAGGAAGTATGCCTGTGGCCACATGGCCCTTGTTCAAAGTTAGGACACAGGGCAGTCCTTTCAGTTAAAAAAAAAAAAAGAGAAAAAGAGATAATCCAGAAAACCTGGAAACAGCACTGCACCCTGGGATCCGAATTGATTTTTCTCTCTCTCTCATCTGAGTCTGCAATGCCGCGGGGCTAGCATGCAGACTGGGATCAATAAGACATGAGTCCTCTATTAAAGACAACATAAAACATATATTTTTGAGGTGCAGTGGGAGAGTGGAAGTCTGATGCATGTAGGATTGAGAGACTGATGGAGTCTGTAGCATGACACTGAGAGCGGGTCCTTTTCTGGAATCTTACCCACATCCTCCCTCTTTGCCATGGTTCCCGCTGCCCATTGCTCGTAGGGATTCAGCATTCACCCGACGGTCCACTGGCTAAACCTGGACTGGCTTGTTAAAGAGGGAGAGGATGAGTCAGGCTTAGTTTTGTTTTTTCAGCATCCACATACTCCTGCTGAGTTTTGGCTTCCCCATCTGTAACATGAGGATAATCATACCTAATTCCAGAAAACAACTGCACCGTGAGAGTCACGTGAGTAGTATTTAGTAAACGTTACCATCTCTTTTCCTTTCTCCTGTTCTTATTGGAAGTTCAGCTCTGGCGTGCATGTGTTTTCAGGGGACCCGCTGCTTCCTTCATCCTGAGCTCAACCTGGACTTGAATTGTTTCAGCCTATTTTGGCTTTGCTTTCTTTGGAATCGTGCAGCATATGGAGGTACAAACGCCAAACATTACGTGATGGTGGTCCTTGCTTATTGCCACGTACGTAACTTTGACTTCTCTGAATAAAGTCCAGGTGCATCCTCAGTTGGCAGAAACAGTGCAGTAGAAAGTGTGACCTCCCTGAGTATATGGACCTGGCTCATCCAGCATCCCCCGCCCTGAAAATCGTGCCCAAGAAATATTAGTTGAATGAATTAATGGCAAGGGAATTTGGCTCCATATTTCAAGGTTAGAGTGGAGAATATTATTTAAATAATAGGATTTGGGAATATTCAATAGCCTTTGAAGAACCAAACATGTGAAATGAGTTTTACGGTATAAAAATCAAAATTTTACATCCGTGATCACTAGCTTCATTCTGGGCACTTTGGAAACTTCAAAGCATTGTACACTTGTAAAGTAGCATGATTATTTCCAATGACTCATATTTCAATATGTGTTGAGTTTGATCTGATATTGTTGTAAATAACCATAAGGACAAGAGAGAACACACTGAGCGGAGAGACAAGAGACAAAGGCTTGAGACCCATTTTGTTTCCTCTCTGTCCATGTAACTGAGTCAGATCACTTCCTCTCTCTGGGACTGTTTCCTTATCTGTAAAATATAGATAATATTTAGTTTGGGATCGAAATTCAGCTCATGAGCATGGCTCAGACTAAAATTTTTTTGCAACTTACCATTCTTCTTTGGTTTTTTTTTTTTTTTGGTTTCTATGCAAGAGTAATGTTTTAATTGCCACAAAAGAAAAATATGTCAGCAGATGACAATGTAAGATCAGAATGAAAAGTATGGCATTCTTGACATCAAGCCTTATCTAAATCACTAGATTTGCAAAAGATCCATCCAATTAAGTTCTGCTGTAGTTTCCATCTCAAATCTCTACCTGTTTAGTTTTCACATCACAAACACTTAGAGTGGTCCTGGGAACCAGAGAGACATCTAGAGCAGATCCTTCATTTTATAGATTGGACATGGCAGACCAGAGGTTAAAAAAAAATGACTTGTCCCATGTCACAGTGTCAGTTTTGCAGCCAGGACTTGGGTCCATCTCTTTAATTTCAAAC